AATGTACATTGTGTCTCGTTGCTTGTGTTACACAGGAGAAGGCAGCTGACTGATCCATATACATCCTCACTTGTGTCTGCAAAGTGATGCAATTTTGTAAAGAGACAATTTCCAAAACTTTCAGGCTTGAGACATCTTGCAACTACAGTAGACGTGTTCCAATGCAGAAAGACTAGTCAGACCACTGCTTCAAATTCTCAGCCAGGCCATCTTACCACCCAATCTTCAATGTGCACAATTTCTGATGGATACTTTTTGCTGGCAAAACCACGGGTGCCAAAATGCTTGATGGATCATAGACTGACCCAATGACAGAAAGAAGTCCTCTTCTTGGCTTTGACCAGGACAGGGACTATTGCAATTGTGCAGTCATCTTCTTTTTCTCATTCATCTTTTACATCCAGATAAATGACCCATTACATTCCAGCCTTTGTAATGAAATTGTATTTCTTTTCCTCATTCTCATTTATGTCTGCATGGAACTTTACAGTAAGAACACATGATGTGAAATAAGATGAAAATTTTGTAGTACACATTTGGGAAATGTCAGATAGCCATGTTGGATTTTCTGTGTGCAGCAGTTTTCTTTTTCTTGTTCTTTAATAATTATCCTTCACACCTTTCCTTAAATTGACAGCTCTAGCTCCAGGCCCTCTGCCTCCCTTGTAGCTTGTCCTGAGTCCAAATCTGCTACCTCTGAGGGTTCTCCTTTCTCATTGCAGGCCACTTGCTTCACCTTGCTTTTTCCTCATCTTTTGTGTTTTTACTTTTATGTTTTTTGTTGTTTACCAGTCTACCACTTATTCCTGGTTCTTCCTTTAAGCCTGGTTTCCTTGTTTCCTTTCATGTGTTTTGGTTACGTAGATTTCATCATGGTATCATGAGAATTTCAATTTGAAAAATTAGCTCAATTAATCAATTGATTTTTCAATTAAAAATGAAATTATCATGGAACTATTTTGATGACTGAGCAAATTGCTTGATTTATGAAAGCATCAAATCTTGACAAATTGCTGCTTTTATCTAACTTTTGGACACATGATTTGATGAAAATCTGACCTGTTGTTTAGAATATGTTTAGACTGCATGAAAATAGTTTGAA